ATACTAAGCGTTAGAACTTATCTAGGGTCGAACCTGAGCGAAGCGAGAGTGAGTAGTTAGTTCAAAATAAAATAATCTGTTTAGATTTTAAAGATGAACCAAAAATCCTAAAAGATACCCATTATTATAGACAGACAGACAGACGTATAATGATTTTATATGGATTCTGTATTTCTAACAGCAACAATACGATTCAATTATTTTATATATAATATGTACATGTCGACCCCCTCGTCATAAGCTAACCATGTCAAATATGAAGTCGAGGATTATATATAAGATATTATAATAAACATATAGTGATAGTGAATGTAACAGTAGCATTTTATTACGTCAGTGGTCATTACGCTCCCATCCTGAGCTCATGCTCGTAAGATCAGGAAAATGCTATAGGTTGGTACAATACGTTGCATCATATAAGGAAGGCAGGCTTTCCCAAGATAAACATATAAATTATATTGTACTAAACACTTAATGACCCAACTTGCGACTGAAGTGTGAACTGCATGAATTAGAGTGTAGACGTTTCTGAGATAAAATTGCTTTTAAAACATACTTAACTTTCATTTACATTCTGTAACTATATTTGGCTTGTACTATTAGCTTAGCTAATTTATTTTATTAGTGGCTAGCTTATGCTATATATTAAGATATGTTGGGTTCAAATCCCGGGTCAGATATATTTTTTGGAAATTTCTGTCAAGTAATTGGACGAAGTTATGCAAAATAGATCCAACCACAAAAACTTATTTTTGAGAAAATAGGAGGTTTTAGTAAAATTGGTATCTATATCAAAATAACAAGACCGTATTTTTTTTTTGAAATTCCTCTCAAATATTGGGTATTTTATCTACTTTCTGTATATAAGTTGGTATGTAGATGCCATTTATGACAGTAACTCAAAAAAAACGGTTTTCGTAGGCTGGAACCATTTTGCATAACTACGTTTAATTCTCATTTAAATCCATCCGATCCATACCTTATAGTATTTTATATTAAAAAATAGCACATCGGGACATTATGCAATGTTCATAACGTAATCTTTAATTATTAGAGGTTATTAATTTTGTGAAATACTTCATTTAAACCATTAATATGTAATTTATAAAAACTTTTTAACAAAAAAAAATAAAAACCGACTTCAAACAAAAGCACTACAAAGTAAAAAATAACTGATTGGTAGTTTTCATTTACTATACATACCTAATCAAATATTTTCGAAGTCGGTGTGCTTCTTTCGATTTCTCTTTATTCTCCTTATTGTAATAATTGGTGACTCATCATTGTCGTCATCATATGCATAAATTCTACTTGCTCATACGATTTTTAGGAAACATGGGTTTTTTAGCATTAATTTTATCATTTATTAGATTTTCTCTGGTCACTATATACTCGTACTACTGTTATTATACTATTGCTCTAATTTAGACAATTTCTAAGGGATTTCTCACTTCAAAATAGCTAAATATAATTTTATTGTATAGATTACTTACTACTCATAATGAACTTTTTTTTACTAAAAACTAACTAAGATAACCTAACCTTGCTATTATTAAAATGAACTTTAAAGTGGATAGAAATGAAAAAAAACTAGGGCTATATGTCAGGTATTTAAGATCTTTCTTAGTGTTTTATTAGCTACTAGCATTGCCCGCGGTTCCGTCCCCGTTCAGATGACCAAAAACCAAATTTTTAGGTTTTACGTATTAGTATACTCTTACATTGCAGTTTTTGTATTTTTTCTCAGGAATGAGATATTTTCCCGCGGTAAAAAGTATCCTATACGTTGACCCGGATAACCAGCTATCATCATACCAAATTTCATCAAAATCTGTCTAGTGGTTTTCTCGTAATGCGGTAACAGACAAACAGACAGATAGACAGACAGACAGACAGGCAGACAGACATACAAAAATTCTAAAAACTATAGATTCGGACTCTGTATCGATAATAATGTCTATTTCAATTAGATTTTCCAAAAAATATTTAATGTACAGATTCGACTTAGTTACAATTTTATTATATGTATAGATATAGATACTAAAAGCTACATCACATACAACTAACAGAACAATGTTTATTTCAAGTGAGTTTTGGAACGTGTATAATAAAATATTTCAAACCACTTTTCGAGTGAACTGAAGCAGGATATTATCAATATTATGTAACGATGACCCAGTCAATACGATTTATTTCTTCCATATAACTTAACAAGTTTATGCCCGCGGCTCGTCTCGTATAGTTTATGGGTTGATTTCTCCGAGATTGCGTCCTTCATCTGATTAATCTGGCCAAAAATTATTTTCATTTTTGGCTCTATTAAACATACCCTTATGATTAAAGACATGCCAAATATCATTTATTCTATATATATATATATATATATATATATATATATATATATATATAATTATTATTTTTAATAATCTATACATACATACATACATATATATATATGTGTATGTATGTATGTATGTATGTATAGATTATTAAAAATAATAATTATCTAGTACATAATCTAATTTAGTTTGGTGTAGTAGTTTATGTACCTACATAATGTTTTAGTCTCATTTCCCTGCTCCTAAGTGACATAGCATGTTAGATAACCTCCTTTCTCAATAAATGGGCTATAAGATGCAAAAAAGATTTCAATGTGAATATTAGTTCATTAGTTCGGGTACAAACAAACAAAACTATTTAAATCAAAAATATTTTTGTACCCCCATTTTGTACAAATAAACATACATAAAAACACAATTTCTACAGCTTCAATAATATTTGTATTCATTTATCATGAATTATTCATTAGAAACTTATTGCAATAATATTTTTATGTATTCGACGTACTTTTCGTTGCTCATTTGTTATTCGTAAATTGGCACTTGCACATAATATTATGTATGTATGTACGTGGCTCGAATAACACATAGTAATTGTCAAAGTACAAGACAAAGGTCATAAGTTCTATTACTAATCTATACATATAATAAAGTTCTGAGTTGAATCTGTACATCATTTTTTTTTTGGAAAATCTTATTGAGATAGTCATTATTATCTATACAGAGGCCAAATCTATAGTTTTAGACTTTTTGTCTGTCTGTTGTCTGTGACCGCATCACGAGAAAACCGCTGGACAGATATTGATGAAATTTGGTATGCTGATAGCTGGTTATCTAGATTAATATATGGGATACTTTTTACTGTAGGAAAATGTCTCATCTCTGAGAAATCTATACAAAACGTTAAAACGTAACTAGGGACGAACCCGAGCGGAGCGAGGGAGAGTCGCTAGTTAGAGATACAATTGGAATGGTATATTGGAAATTAACGAATACTTTTAGAATAATATACAATATTCATATATGTATACAAGAACTGTACTTTGCAAGTGCTAATAATTTAAAAAACTTTGGGTATTTCATATTAGATAAAGAAAGGGAGAGAGAAAGAGATGTAACATAAAAATAATCTTATTATTTATTTCTCATAATTATCGCTGCATATTAAATTATATTTATCATTAGGTCATACATAAGGCTAATACTAAGCTAACACACTAGTCATTAGCATGAAATGGCTTTCGTTAAAACATCTCTGTAAATATCGTTAGCTTCTTATATAAATTTTAATATCTATCATAGATTTTGTATTTTTAATGTTTATGTAAGTTTATTATAAATCAAATCGGAATAAAAACTATTACAAAATATATACTCTAAAGACGACACCATTTTTTGTTATATGAATGAAAAAATGAGGCCAATAATCGGCACTCTGCAGATATCAGACTTTTAGATTCAATGCAAGCACTAAGCGATGTCCACAATACCTTTCACAAAGGCTTCCGGTCGAACGAGCCTTATGTAATCCTTACAATATAGGTACCAAAATACCTTAAAATACGTGTTTTTAACGAAACAACTCGACCGTATAACACGAATTCGATACCTATATGTATATACGTAATTAAATTTGTAGGTCATCCATTCAAACATTTATTAGGAGCGAGTGTCAATAATTATGATGCAACTAATATGGGCTTTCATGTTTATATTAGTCATTATAGATTTGTCATGATGTGTTTTCGACAGTTGCGAGGCACTGCGAATGATTGCGATACACTATTTGTTACATTCAACGACAACTAACATGTTTATTTATTGAAATTAAAGCGTAATGTAGACACAAATCTATGAATCAATATTCCATATTGATATACTAATATTATAATATACTATATAAATGTAAAAGTTTGTGAGGATGGATGGATGTTTGTCACACTTTCACGTCAGAACGGCTGAGCGGATGTGGATGAAATTTAGCACAAAGATAGATTATAGTCTGGAATAGCACATAGGGTACTTTTTATTCGGGAAAAATATAAGGTTGCTGTGAGATAGATTTGTTTTTTTTCTAGAGACGAAATTGAAGCTAAGCGCATAAATAATAAATAATATAACTATTACGCTTATTTTGTTTTGCTAGCTTAGTAATAGGAGACTATAGGGAAATCTAGTTGTTACGTATACTACATATACTATATCGTTACTTATTATAACATACATAGAACTAGAATTGAGACTTTTTAAGTAAAACAATCTTTTTGGATTTTTTCCCCGTATTTATTTTGATTTTTGGTTCTCGACGTTTCGAATGCTTTACAGCAATCATGGTCACGGGAGAGACTGAAGTGTTAGATGTCTCTAAGGTATTATATAGTTGTTACAGACAGCCTACCCACAAATAACAAAATGAATTCAAAAAATTGCAAAATGGCACCCAAGTACCTTACAATATTTTTTTAACTTTTAACTTTAACGAACCGAAACGTCGGGAACCAAAAATCAAAATAAATTCGCGAAAAAATCCGAAAAGATAGTTTTATTTAAAATGTCAAGTATTCGCGTAAATCTAAGAAAGTATTATATAAAACCACTTTGCTCAAGAACACTTGCCTCGTTATACACATCTTTATTAGACTAGAAAGGACTTGATATATCATGACATTATGTAACTTTGACGTAACTTATGTCCGACTAAGACATTTTTCTGAGACAGGACGAGGCAAACTGAGTGGAGCTCACGCTGGAGTGGTTATTCTGACACCACTCGAAGATGCAATAACAAGCGGAAGTCATCATTATACCGGATCTACGCCACTTGAACCTCCACCAACTTTGATAAATTCAGTATATTCGGCGCTTAAAAATGTATTTTCATCTGCTCCTCCACTTCAAGACACGTATGCAGATTATGTCCCACCACCTCCCCAGCCATTCCAACCGATGTCATGGGGTGCCGTTAACTCCTATGGTGAACCGGCCACAGCTGACAGTTACACTGACTACAGTCCTTACCCACCAATCGAATACGCTTCATCCAAAAAATCTGTCATCACTCCTCACAGACACGAAGGCCTGACTCCAGCGAAAATTCAAAAAATAAATGCAAATTTGGAAAAATTAAATGCCTACATGAATGAGAATCAGCGTTCTTCTGAGGAGTTGCCAAAATTGAATAAGGATTATGCGGAAATGTTGAGAAAAGGATTAATTCCATTGATGCCAACACCTGTTGTCTCTGATAACGAGATAGGGGTACTTCCTGCAGAATTTTTGCCTGACCCTTTGAGTTCTACCTCCACTTCTACGACCACTACGACTTCACAACCACCAAAGAATACAACCGAAAACGAAAATATTAGAAGAAAAAAAGATGTTAAATACATGCTTCGCGGCAATAGGATTGTTCAACTGACAATTGACTGATGATTGACCGAGAGGCGAGAGGTATGTTGACGTGACAGACTGACTTAATTACTTCTCCTTAATGACAAAATCTTGACAAAAATGTTTGTTTTGACTGATTTACTTTTGACTGTGCTATTTAGGGAAAATAAAACACCCTATTTCAAAAATTCTGACATTCTTATAAAAATGATTATATTTAATTATTTATTAGCATAGAAAGTCACAATTAATGTTCTTATTTATAATAAATGTTTAAAAATATAACTGAATCGTTAATAATAACAAATTTATTTTCAATTTCAGATACTCCTCTATACGGCGCAGTGCTCAATGCTGATAATTTGCAACACTACGTGTAAAGATACGCTTCAACACCTTAATATTTAAGGTCATTGTAAATTGTAATTCCTAAGAACGACAAATATACAACACTAACAATGAAACAAACCGATCATCGAGACATGAACCAAAAATATTGTAAGAAAAAGCTTCGTGTTCATCAGAAAACAACACTTATTAAGTAACAAAATGAAATTGCTAAATACAAGAGAGATAGAGATTGATGATATTGTTTCAAACAACAATTCATCTGATTTGTGTAAGAAATTTATGATAGTATCGTAAATGCATGTAAATAAATGAAAATTTGATGAATATTGAATATAAATTATAAACATATTTTATGAATGTTTAATAAATTGGATTTTATCGATTTGGTCTCTATATATGAATCAAATAAAATTTATATTCGATTTAATTAGATAATAACATTAGATGATCGTAACAATGTACAATATTTGCATTAAATGCTTGATAAAATATGTTACCTACTTAATAATTGTATATCGCTTCATTAAGTGTCAGTGAAAGATGCTTAGACATTTTTTTATTATAATTATTTATCATCTAATTATATATAATAACTTCAAGTATAATAAAACAATTTTTATTTATATAAATATTATTAGGGGCCTTAATATAAAATAAGTTTATAAGGTATCAAAATTCTACTAAAAGACTTATTAGAAATATTATCTACTGTACCTAACTTTAACTCTATATTTAATTTAAAACGTTTTGTGTTATTTATTTTTGTGGAGCTACTACTATTCTAATACCTCTTTATGCACAATGTACATTGCAGAATAAGAAAAGTTTAAATATTTTCCACATAAGCTTAATTTTCAACAGCCATGACGTATTTACTGTATTACATTTGCTTGTTATTTTTAAAATTGGTGTATATGGAATTGTACATAAATTACGCTCAATATTATTTATGTCCTAATTTATATAAGAATTTCATTCGTTGTAAATAAATAATTTGAGATACTTTACCATTTTTTTTCTTCTCTTCTTCTTCTTCTTCTTCAAACGGTATATTTAGGTAGGGATTGTGTCATTTAGATAGAGGTTTTGCACTAAATTATGAATACATAAGACTTTTCAGGTTCATTCAAAAATTTGGTCCAAATAATTTGCTTATGGCCATTGCAGCAATATTAGATTATTTCAATTTATTTTATTGAAATAGAAATAAAAATAAGTACGCCTTTTTAATATCACTTTTTACAAATATCTGTCTAAAACGTAATTTATAAAAAAAACGCTTATAAAAAAGGTATTATTAAAAAATGTAAAAGTATTAAAAGGGTAAGTATATATATTTATATTTGTGCCTACATACTTAATAAAAGAAATCTGATATGGAAATGATACATATTCTCAATTCATTTCAATTTTTTTTTATTGGCTTTAAAGCGTGCCAGTTGAGCACAGGTTACTTTGCCAATTTCACGTAGAATGAAGAAGACGCGATGGAGATTGGTCAGTAAAATAAGAAGAGTATGATTCTATGATAAAACGATCTGATTTGTCAGATTTGCTTGTTTTATTGATAAATACTTACAATTTATTGATAATTCAGTAAAAGCTAATTCTTGTCAATGCAACTAGCATCATAAAAAAACTTAAGAGTATATAAAAAAGCGTGAATAGAGCGTATGTAGAGTTGTCGTAAAAGGCGTTATCACTCAAAATAATGATACAAGCGCCATCTAGAGAAATGTAGCAAAACTAAAAGGAACGGTCTGTTGTAGGGATCCCACGATTACAATTAAAACTACATATTAAGATTTTTATATCTTCAGATTATACTAAAAAGATTAATTTATATTGTTTTTCTTTCTCTGTATTTTCAAATAAAAAGTATATAGATTCCTCAGAGATGAGATATTTTCCTGTCTCCTATATGTTGACCCGGATAACTAGCTATAATCACACCAAATTTCATTAAAATCTGTTCAGTGGTTTTTTAGTCAGACAGACAAACAAACAAAAATGCTAAAAATATAGATTGGGAATATGTATCGATAATAAAAACTATTTCAACTTGTTAATGTACCTACAGTATCATCTAGAAATATGTATGGCAAAAAATTTAATATTCTAAGTGAAGGAGAGCTCTCCTGAATAGCATTGATACGAATTTCCCGATGTTTAAACTGTACGTGGCCGATTTGTTTCATTTCTTATCAATCTGTATTTTTTCTGGGAGTTTGTAACAAAAAATGTTCTAACAGTAGTTACAATATTTCATACTTTAATGACAAACATAATATGGACAGCCGAAACTTACACAAGCTTATTTACAGCGCCATCTATTGCAAAACATAGGTATTACAAAGCATAGAGTCAGAATTTTTTGTTTTATAGCATAAAGTGCACGTAAGGCTTTAAGATGGCAGTGTCTGATAATAAAAATAACTGGGTACTTAGTAATAAATGATCTGTGATATAACTAAAAAATATTCTTAACATTGGACGGACGCATACATATAATAAAATTGTAACTAAGCCGATTTTGTACATTAAATATTTTTTGGAAAATCTTATTGAAATAAACATTATAATCGATACAGAGGCCGAATCTATAGTTTTTAGAATTTCTTTCTGTCTGTCTGTTACTGCATCACAGATAAACCACTGGAGGGATTTTGATGAGATTTGGTATGGTGATAGCTGGTTATCCGGGTCAACATATAGGATACCTTTTACCCCGGGAAAATGTTTCATTTCTGAGATAAAATACAAAAACTACAATGTAAGGGCATACTAATATGTAAAACCTAAGAATTTGGTTTTTGGTCATCTTAACGCGGGCGGAGCCGCGGGCAATGCTTGTCGTAATATATAATAAATTTTCTGCTGTCATAATAAAGGAGGTCCTAAATAATAATTTGGTCAAAAATGACTTAAATGCAGATTCGGAATCAGCACAAAAACTTGATAATCTTAGTCATAAAGTTAACATTACCACTACACACCATAACCATTTTCATCTTACTACATCAAAACTAGTAGTAATTTTGACGTAGTAGTAAGAGAAAACTTTAAATATTTATTTCGAAATCAACTTTTGTTGACGAAGTTGCGGCCTTCTTTTTAATGGCGGCAGATTTAGAGTCTGCAGGTTGCAAGTGCTTGTTACAAATTCAAGTATTTAATGCTTTTCTTATAAGCTCTTTCCAAGCTTAAAATTCTGAAAAGCTCGTGTCCAAATATCCTGTGTAGAGACGAAAGTTTTATGCATTTATTTCGTCTGATCCCTAATTGGATATATTCCTAGACACAGTCATCTGAATGATAATAATGATGACCTGATTCTATAAGATATTGGGGTCAATATGATAACAGAAAACAAAGGTATTTAGAATTTTTGTCTGTCTCTCTATTCAAAAACAATGTCTTCGAGAATAACTGGAGGGATTTCAATGCTAATACAATTAACACACACTAAAACCACTATAACTTAGTATTTAAATCATTTAAAAATAGAAATATGTATATTAATTTCTCATAATATACTTAAAGTCCACAATCAAAATTGCGATAAAGCTTACTTTTGTTCCTTACAGGTGCCGAAATATTGTACAGTTAATTTACTAAATCGAAAATTGCTTGATTTCAGTCGACCAATTAGATCAAATAATTCAGCTTGCTCTTAAGGTCTAATCCACACTATAGTGTCTATCACGGTTCGTTCTCTCTTTGACACCGTTCTGTTAAAGTACTTTTATACAAGAAACAATAAGCGCATTCATACTATCAATAAGAGTCAAGTTCCGGTCGAATCACACTTTCTTTGTATCAAAATACTTTATCACGCTGATATCGGACTAAGATCGGACTGTGATCGGCACTATAGTGTGGATGAGCACTAAATATATTTGTTTTTCATGGGCTAAATAAAAAGTACCCGTAAAATAATACCTAGCAATAAAACTCACAACGAGTCATTGATCTACGGACCGTAATTTCAAAGTTGAAGTAAATTGGAAAAAAGTACCTAAATAAAATAAAAATATTAACATTGTTTAAATTTGTTGTGCTTAAGAAAATATGTTAATATGCCGGAAGTAGGGTATATATCAATAACTTATGTAATAGTTTATGGGACCCATGTTATCCTTCCTGGTCAAGCGCTTTCCAGTCACAGGGTGTAATCAGTGCTATTGGCCTTGTAATAAACAATGATTATGCATGATAATACGAAATCGTTCCGTGGGAAATTGTAGGTAATTTACTTTACAGTTTATTTATTACTTTGAATAATACATCCGTAAAGTATTGTCAAGAAAAAAAATTGCTTTAGGTAAAAAAGGATAAACATTTTTAGCATTGATAAACACTTCATTCGTATACATAGCAAACCAGCAACTTATCCCTAGTGAAAAAACAGAAACAATTCTATCCCACGGGAACCGTATATTTTTCCGGGATAAAAAGCCACTTATGTGCTATTCCAGATCTGTTCAGCCGTTCTGGTGTGATTGAGTAACAAACATCCATCCGAACTTTCGCTTTTATAGTATTATACATATAATAATGGGATTAATGGGATTAAGTTAAAAAATAAAGAAACAGTAAAATAGAAAATTAACTTGAGAAGCAGCGAAAAAATTCAAAACGATTTTTTATACAAAAAATATACTTAAATTCCGACACACAAAGTGACATCTCTAAACACTAAACAACAACAAACATTACAGTACATATAAAATTACAGTATATATTAAAAAAAAAATCTTTCACGCACAACCATTATATATAATAAATAAATTTATCACGGTAATAAAATAATAAATTATTAATTGATACATAAATACCACTGAAGTATACGAGTAAAAGGAGAAAAGGTCTTGGCCAGTCTATTATCTTACTCTACATACAGCAACTTAGAGTACTCGCGCGAACGTTAGAGGGGGCAGCCTTAAAAACTTATGCTGACCTATTTCATTTCTCATAGCCACTTGACTGTACTTGCCTTATGACGTAAAAATATAATTTAATAAGTGATTTTGTGTTTTTTAACAGTTATTCTATAGTGAAAATGTGCTAGCCTTCGTTATCTTTAAGTTTTGGTACTATTTTAAAACCGTCGAAATGATAAAGGTATTGTATATTTTCTTTTAATTGTGATTTAAAGTTAATTGTTATATAAAAGAAAAGTAAGAGATTTTTAATTAAATTGTGTATATTATGAAATAAGGTGATTAATAAAAATATTATATTACGGTTAATTTAGTGATTTTAAAATGGTCTTTTTTATGATTAACTACAATTAACTATTAAATTAAAAACATTTTTAATATTTTTTTTTAAATTAAATTTATAAATTACGATAATTCGAATTTATGGTGTTATTCCGAATGAAGAGAAGATGAAGACGTTATTAAGTAGAAAAATTTGTAAATTAATGTGAAGACAGTAGTGGACAGGTGTATACTTTATATATAAAAATAACTAGCGGCTCACCCTCGCTTCGCTCGGGTTCGTCGCTAGGTACGTTTTAAATAGATATAAAAAGAAAAAATCTTTCTTTCTCACATTTTAATTATATGTTTTAATACTTACCTATTCCGGACTAAGAGAAATCCAAAAATTAAAATATCATAAAAATTGGAACGCGGTCGAACGGGATAAAAAGTATCCTATGTCCTTCTCCTGGCTCTAAACTACCTCCCTGCCAATTTTCAGCTAAATCGGTTCAGCCGTTCTTGAGTTATAAGCGAAGTAACTAACACGACTTTCTTTTATATATATAGATTCAACAATTGAAACCACTAAATAGAACAAAACGAACGAAAAGATACACGATTTTTGTACCTGATAAAAACCACTGCATATTTACAACGCATTTTTTTTTAATATTATTGTTTACATTATATTATATATGTATGTAGAATAATGAAAAAAAAAATAAAAAAAAAACAGCTCACTTTCTGTTTAAAAAAAAAAGACGTACAGACATACTTTCTTATAACAATTGAAAAGTTTGTATATTATTATGAAAATAAAAATAATTTTATAAGCATTACAAATAAATAAATATCTCGTTCGCTGATACGGTTAATAAAGCTAGAGGTAAAAATAGTGTACAACGTAACCCATTGATGCTGATGATATCTAACAATGCCCAGTGGTCAAAATTCGACTTTAATTATTATTGAAAATTTAAGGAAAACATATATGAATAGAAATTATCTATTTATATTAAAAAAAACTGTTTCTTTAACGTTTTTTATTGATAACACTAAAGCACGTCAATAGCTACTAAACAAAAAAATCGTTTGACAGAGTAGAAAAAAAAATTGTTTTGTCTTTGTCTATTCATATGTACACATATAATAAAATTCTAACCGAGTCGAATCTGTAGGTACATTAAATATTTTTTGGAAAATCATATTGAAATAAATAATGAATAGCTAACAGAGAACGAATCTATAGTTTTTAGAATTTTCGTCTGTCTGTCTGTCTGTGACCGCATCACTTAAAAACCGCTGGAGGGATTTTGATGAAATTTGAAATATCTGAGAAGAAGAAGAAGAGTAGGGACGAATCCGAGCGGAGCGAGGGTGAGTCGCTAGTACTCGTATATACTCGTAATACCACAGACTATATTATAATACCTATATGTTTCTTTTAATCTATACATATAATAAAATTGTAACTAAGCCGAACCTGTACATATTTTTTGGAAAATCTTGTTGAAACAGACATTATTATCGATACAGAGGCCGAATCTATAGTTTTTAGAATTTTTGTCTTTTTGTCTGTTGATATGGTAGTATGGTGATGGCTGGTTATCCGGGTCAACATATAGGATACTTTTTACCGCGGGAAAATATCTCATTTCTAAGAAAAAATACAAAAACTGCATTGTAAGAGTATACTAATATGTAAAACCTAAGAATTTGATTTTTGGTCATCTGAACGCGGGCGGAGCCGCGGGCAATGCTAGTGTGAAATAAGTGCTCGCTTGTTTCGTTTACACAAAGTAATGAAATAACGACATGATTATTTTGTAATCGATATAATTTTTTGATATCGGTAGTTGCTTCATACATTTTATCCTGGTACATAAAAAAGTATCTGGAGATAGTGTATCGCAAAATTATATATAGTTAGTAAATCCGTGAGAAATGTAGCCAATTAGACTGATAGTAATTAATAAGTTAAAATAGTTTTGATGTGAGTCTGTATACCTACTTTAACAATGAATATGTGTCAAGGTACATTTGTTCAATTATAAATCTTATTTATAATTAACTCACCCTAGCTTTGCTTCGGGTTCGTCCCTAGACAAAAACAAACCTATCCCACGGGAACCGTCAATTTTTCTGGGATAATACATAGCCTATAACCTTCCTCAATAAACGGGCTATCTAATGCAAGAAGAATTCCTGAGATTAGCGCGTTCAAACAAACAAACTCTGCCTCTTTATAATATTAGTATAGATATACTTATTTTAGTCATGAAATGGTCATCATGTAAGGCAATATGTGAGGAAATGGGTTTTCTTTCTCATAGTGTTCGAACAACTATCATACCAACCGGTCTATCCAGGTTTCACATTGCATTTACGCGTCGTATTTATCATCATCTTATTATCTTATCATGATCTTAAACAAATATACGTATAGTTTCTTTTGCTGTATCTGTTATGAATTGTGGTGTAGTTGCTAGAAAGTGATCTAATTAAGGAATTAATAAAAGTCGATTTCTCCACCACAAGTACTAAGTAGTAAGTACTAGGAGTTGATAAAGACAAACTTAAAATTTAAATCTGTACTTAGTTTACATATTACCTAATAAAACCAGAAAACCCGCTCATTTCTATCAAAATACAAGCATTTTTTATAAATCTTTATAGACATTACATTCGCAGGTAGATTATAAAAAAAACAAACAACAAACAAACATACAAAAAGCAAACAAACATACACAAACAACTTAGTAAACATTTTTTAACTACACACAATTCCTTATAAATTAGAAAAGGTATAACACAGCAATTCGTTTTTAAGATTCGTACTCGAAGGGTGACAACAGAACGCTATTATTAAGCCTTGCTGTCCGTTCATCCGTCTGTCAGAGAGCTGTATCTAAAGCACCGTAATAGGTAGAAAGTTGAAATTTTGACACAGTATATATTTCTATTGCCGCTATAACAACAGATAATAAAAAAACATAAAAAAGTAAATAAAATACCTACAAAAAACATTTTTGTAACGAATCAATCTTATTACATACAATTACATTAATAAAAAGTATATATACGATGGTACGGAACCCTTCGTGTGCGAATTCGATTCGCACTTGACCGATTTTTCATTTTGTGCCAGTTTTGATACTGATAAAAACTGAGATAATTATATTATAATCTATTTAAACTATTCTATGTGAGGATCAAATTTGAATCTTTTAGAGCTTTTAACAGATATCTCTTGACATACATTTTAATTTTAGTGTTATAGTTTTATATAGAGAAAGTAAAGTATTATTATTATGTATATTATAGACATATGTAGGCACGTGATTATCGTACGTGAGTAAATATTTCTAGCCATTTCACACCGGGATAACATACATTTACATAAAAATTGTGCTTTATCACCATAATAACCGTAATAGTGATAAATTCATGATGTGAGTAATTTCTCTAGAACACCGACCGAGCAATTAGACTGAAGAAAACCGTTATCGTTCTGCCTTATTTGTTGCACGTGATGCTTTAACTTTGAAGTAGTCTATGTAAAAATGTGTTTAAATGATTAATTAAGATCTTAAACGTTCAATGCTGGAGTTATGTCAAGTTTCTTGCGAATATTTGACATTTTAAATAAAACTATTTTTTCGACGCGACGTTTAGAACATTTTACAGCAAAAATGATCACGAGAAAGACTAAAGTTTTAGACGTCTCAAAGGTTTGCCTTCAACAACTATACTCGAATATATAATAACTGACCATGTGCTGTATAGAATTTGAAACGTCGAGAAAAAGTATAAAATAAAACACCGCAACAAAATCCGAAAAGATAGATTTATTTATGTCAAGTTTGTTATATAAAATACTACTCTCGTTTTGATCGAGTGCATCCCTAGGTACCTTATGCGATTTGATACAAAAACATAGACTTATCGATACTAATATTATTAAGAGGTAAAGTTTGTGAGTTTGTGAGATTGTGAGTTTATGACGTTGTAGGAGATAATGTCTGGATCTACTGAACCGATTTAGACGAAATTTAGCAAGAAGATTGTTTGAGACCCTGGGAGGGACATAGGATACTTTTTATCCCGGAAATCATTCCTTAAGAGGGTGAAAGTGAAAGTGGGGAAGAAAGCTAGAGACGAACCCGAGCGAAGCGAGGGTGAGTCGCTAGTACTATACATATATAAGTATATATGTATGTACGTATTCATCTTTTGGCATATTGCAACTAGTAGTCTATGTGTTATTTTAAATCATAATCTGTATTCATCCAAAGTAATTTCCTACAGATAAATCTAAGATATTTCTAAGTAAAATTTTACAATGAATTTATTAGTTATATCAATGGGAACCATTGGCGCGCCGAGAAAACACCAGATTATAATTTTCCGCCTTCAACACCTTATCTCGTTCGACCTGACATTACGTGAAAGAAGTAAAAACCCATAAACCGTCGGGCATAACTAAATGACAATTTACCATAATGTAGATGAAACCCATAGTACAGGGATAATAAATACCTATAGGTATTAATAATAAATACCATACTTCCCTTAAATACTTCTTTCACCACCTATTCGTTATGACAACATTTTTGCCTATATATATATATATATATATATATATATATATATATATATATATATATATATATATATATATATATATATATATATATATATAGACTTTGGATAATACAGTTATTAAAGAAAAATTCTAATTTTTTTTTCTTTAAATTAAGTAGATAATTTAAATATGATTTCAAAAATCTTATGAAGTACCTTTTTTCAATAACATCTTTTCTATAGAAAAAATGATTTAAAGGTCCGACGTCCAAAGGTTTTTAAAACCGACGAGAACAATATATTATCACTTATTCAATTAATTTAATATCGAATGCACGACATTAATTGTAACAACCATGAATTTAAACAAAGAATAAGATAATATACATAATACATAATATAAATCAAATCTAACGAATTGTTGTTAATTAATACTAATTAGTCGAATAACAAGGAAATTGACTGAGAAAGTTGTAAATTCAATTTCTAAAAAATCATATTTTAAATATGAGATTATGATATGGACGCACGCACATATCGCATGTAGAGACATGTATGTATGTACGTGTTTTTTTCAACAGTTTTTCTGATCATTCTCTGGTTACGTGATGTTTCATATTTATGACATTGTGTAATAGAACATCGACTTTTAAATGCGTAATTTAAAGTGAGATTTTCTTGAAATGTTATAGATTCGTTATACGAGTAGTGTTTATCTGAATAAGTCTGTTCACTGCTTGGGAATAAAAAAACTAAAAAAGTCTTTATACCAAGCTACAATTCATTTTAGTTGCTAATTACTTTAAGCAAATTTAGTTTGTTACTAATTGCTAGGTATACTTACTTAAATTTGTTTTTTTATTAATACTAAATTATACTAAACGATTTATTTCTAGATTTTGTAATATATATAAATATGCATTAAGCAAGATCCCCAGGTTGGGTAAAGGCCTCCTCCAAAGATGCCCACTTCTCTCTATCCCGTGCTATTTGCCACCAGCTTGGGCCTGCAACTTTCTTGATCTCGTCGTCCCATCGGGTATAGGGTCTTCTTCTCCTTCTTTTTCCTTGAGGTACTGCTTGGGAATATTTAATGGTTTTGTTTTTAATACTAGCCATGAATTATGGCAGGATCTCTTTAATTATAGGGAAGATGATGATTAGCATTGCATAATATTTTGGTTATAATTAAAATTTGGAAATTACTCGTAGGTAGGTACTTCTATACATTTAATAAAATTCTAATAATTTAGTTGAATCTGGACATAAATATTTTTTTTTGTAAAATATTATTGAAATAGTTATTAATATCGATAGAATTTTTGTCTGTCTGTTTGTGACCGCATCACGGAAAAACCATTGGATAGATTTTAATGAAATTTAGTACGATTATTGACTCGTAGCTGGTTAGCCGGGTCAACTTATAGGATAGTTTTTACTGTGGGAAAATATCTCATCTCAGAAGTCAGAGCTAAAGAAGAACCCGAGCGGAGCAAGTGTGAGTCGCTAGTTATTTACAAAAATAAAAAACAGACTAAAATACATAAGCATAACCCTCCTTTGCGTAGTCGGGTAAAAATATGCACTCGCGTAGTAAAAAAAACCCAATTATTCCGTTTTTCATTGCTTTGTGAAGTTTTCATTTACAATTTACTATATCTAAGTATAGTATAGGTACTATAGATAGGTATAAAGAATTGTATACGTACAATTCTTTTGTATAGAATTTCGTCGTCGTCCATCCGTGACTCGTTTCACAGTTTGTTCGCATGATTGAAACAATTACTGTCTGAATTGTGCAGAGCTATGAAAGTTAAATACCGTGATAATGACCTTTAGAATGTTATGTTATTGATAATGAAATTTTAAAATTATTCACGGCCATTGTTTTAACTAGACTTGTCACAGGTTCAATATCTACCTAGGGTAAAACGCAGATTTTTTATATGGTCTTGGCAGAGACCACGTGAATTGATGATATTATCTCTCTATTCTCCCAGAAAATCTTGAAAAACTGACTCTTCAAACACCAGATAAATTAAGTTTTTCATAGAATAAAATACAATATTAATTAATTACAAAATAACACTCTCATTTTCAGTTATCTGACGATTAAAATTTAAAGATATAAGTATATCTGAAAATATATATATATATATATATATATATATATATATATATATATATATATATATATATATATATCAAATGTTGATATATATATATATATATATATATATATCAACATTTGATTAGATTTCATAGGCTAGCATAACATACAATATAGTGCCGATTTGGTAAATTTCTTCGTCAATGGAAAATAGGTTCTTATTCTCTTAATGTTTTTAATTTTAGCTTTCTTTTAAATGTATTAGTTATTGTAGCGAGGGGTTGGGCCTTAGATGTCCATAAAAATCGATATGTTCATTCAATCTATGTACGAGTATAATGAAGCACTCTACCGGTTCTTGCGGTTAAGGATTCTCTGTTTTGTTTGTTTTATTTAAATAAATATAAGCCTCTAATTTTAGCAGATTGCTAAGAAGCTGTAAAGCGTTTGCTAAGAAATTGTAACAAAAAATACTCATGAGTCAGTGCTAACACTATCATTTCTGTGAAACTTGGGAATGCCTTCTCTCTTCCAATAGAAACAACGGAACCGGTCGCAAGGCGCGTAAAAACGCACACCTTTCCTCACTTTTATAGATACTTGTTTCTAAAATGCAACCGTCTGTGTATATTGTGTTTCACTATAATTATAATGGGTTTTGTGTTAATTTAATTCTTTATGTTATATTTTTATTTCTTATTGTGTACTCAGCCCTTTTTACGTCCCACTGCTGGGCACGGGCCTCCCTTCAATACAAGGAGAATCAGGCCACAGTCCACCACGCTGGCCAAGTGCGGGTTGGCGGACTTCACATGTCTTTCAAACACTTGTTCGGTTCTCTCAGATATGCAGGTTTCCTCACGATGTTTTCCTTCACCGTAAGACAAGTGGAAATCATGTTGGAAATGATTCGCACATGAAAATATTAGAGGTGCGAGAGCCGGATTTGAATCCGCTTAACTCGGTTTCCCAAGCGAGCACGTTACCACCACTGCCTTTTATTGTATTTCTTATATTTAGCCGAAATAGAAAATAGGTAGTTTATATAATTGAACCAAAGTGCACCTAAACACTTTTATTTAATTAAAAGTTGATGAGATGGATAAATATATTTCCCTTAGTATTATATTGACCGAGCGTGTAAGTGAGACTGAGTTGCGATCCAAATAACTTTATACCAAATGCAGTTAATGCAACTACCACTTGGTTATATTTTATTATTGTTAATTTAATACTTTCTAAGATTTACGCGAATATTTGACATGCTAAATCTTTTCGGATTGATTCGCGGATTTACATATTTTGATTTTGAACTCCCGACGTTTTAAATACTTACAACAATCATGGTCACGCGAGAGACTCGGGAATCGTTGTTTCCGTGACCATGATTACTGTAAAGCATTTGAAACGTCAGAAACGAAAAATCAAAATAAATCCCCAAAAAATCCGAAAAGGTAGGTAGTCTTATTAGTAATTTAATCATTTACTTTAGAGCTTGCCCTATAAATTATAATCAAAACAATCTGAATACTGATATTTGCAATACCCTATTATTTATTAAAAACATAGACACACATTTTAATTTTTCTATATATAATATTATTTCCGTTCACAGAGAAGTATAATCTTCTTAACGCTATGGGCAATATCGGATGCATACATCAGCCGCATGGCAGTGAACAGGATGCGAGCTCCCGTAGCTTTCCGGCCGGGTGTAGTACTGCAGAGACCAGTCCCGCAACGTATAATGTCAGCTACAAGACGAGCGCCGTACATATTGTATAGAAATCCTCCCCACAGGTAAAACAGAAATGACATAGAATTATTTGAAATATCTAATCGATTTAACTTTATTATGTAATACACAATATGAGTGTATTACTACGGTTTTATATTTGATACTATTTCATTTTTCCCCAAAAGAAGTGATGTGCTTAAAAAAAACGATTTATATTCTGACATGAAGAAAACTTTTAAAAGCTTATTTAAAATTCGGGTAAATTGCACAACTCTATCTATACACATAAAATTGTAACTGAGTCGAATCTGTACATTAAATATTTTTTGGAAAATCTAAATGAAATAGACATTATTATCGATATAGAGTCCGAATCTATAGTTTTTAGAATTTTTGTCTGTCTGTCTGTCTATCTGTTACCGCATCACGAGAAAACCACTGGACAGATTTTGATGAAATTTGGTATGATGATAGCTGGTTATCCGGGTCAACATATAGAATACTTTTTACCGCGGGAAAATATCTCATTTCTGATAAAAAATACAAAAACGGCATTGTAAGAGTATACTAATATGTAAAGCCTAAGAATTTGGTTGTTGGTCATCTGAACGCGGGCAGAGCCGCGGGAAATGCTTGTCTGTTTTATAAAAACACAAAGTAATAGCACAAAATATAGAGAAGGACTCACTAAACCGACTCACAGTTCCTTTCATAAGTTTGCTATCCTTTGACCATGCATGCTATTGGACAAATGAATATTTTATTATAGGCAAATATGTTTGGTAATAAAAAATTTAAGTACCTAACTCCGAATTCATTGTGATATAATATAATAATAACAAACAGTACCTACCTAATATTTTCCATAATGAGTTTTCTTTAATTTTCCTGAAAAAATATTTTTAGGTTTGCAACGAAGCACATCAACGCAAGTCCCAACCGGAATATATATAATTTGTGGAAGACAACTCGCCAACCAATACCTGTTGCGACTCCTGAGTACGAGTACGTCCGCGCCGCTCCGTCCCCTGTCATACACCCTGACGGTACAGGTTGACTATCTAGATCGCACATTTGCACTATTTTAGCACCCTTTCCTTTTACTATATCTTGACTGCCCAGCTTTGAAAAGATAGCTTAAATAATGGAATCAGCATAAATAAAATATATTTATAAGTAGAACTTAACATCTTCCGATAATAATGTTTAGGTAGCTATTATATTATTTAAACAGCTTTGACTAACAATGTGTTGGGACGCAAAAAATAGGCTTATCAATATTAATTAATTATATAATATTATTACCTAATCTCGTCCAAATCGGCTATTATTATGAGAAAGTTCCGTTAATTGAAGAGCTTTGACAATTTTTGAGATTAGCGGTAACAAACAAACAAGTATTCTTTTCTGATTGCTTTGACTTTACTGTAAATATCCAGCGAGTTTATAACTATAAGTTAACTATAAAATTCCAACTGAGTCGAATCTGTACATTAAATATTTTTGGAAAATCTTATTGAAATAGTCATTATTATCGATACAGAGGCCGAATCTATAGTTTTTAGAATTTGTGTCTGTCTGTCTGGGAACGCATCACGATGAAATTTGGTATGATGATAGCTGCTCAACATATAGGAGACTTTTAACTGCGGAAAAATTATATAACTGTAAGCTACAATTAATAAAAGCAAAAATGTATGGAAATGACATATCACATGTTAAGAACATGATGTCATGTATTTTAATAGCAATATTGTAGAAGGTGTTTTAAGGGGCGTTGCTCAATATCGGCCAATTTTTTTGTGTTCATAGACAGACACTTTGATTTTATTTATAAGTACTAGCGACTCACCTTCGCTTCGTTCAGGTTCGTCCCTCGTCCTTTGAATTTTTTGGCTTTTCTTTAATATAATATGCATGTATTATACATATAAACCTTTCTCTTGAATTGCTCTATCTATTGCTGAAAACTGCATTAAAATCAGTTGAGTACCTATTTTAAAAGAGCTAAGCGAACAGACAGCGGAAACGACTTCATTTTATACTACATATGTAAATATACCGTATAGGTTTAAATTATTTTATACTATTGTATATACATTTTTCTAGTAGCAGAATAGTATTTTTATAAATACATACATACATATAAGTATCGTACCTACATACAAATAAAGATGCTTTAAACTGCTGCAGAGCATAGCAAAGCTTGTTACAAAATATCACTTATTTCTTTTTCGTGCACAATGCACTTAAAAATAATTGGATCCACAGCGTTTTCGAATATCATTCGACTTTTGCTGAAACATATTTTAAAAAGTCGGTCATATTGAATCGTTCTATACAATTTACTAAAATAATTATTTAAATGTAAATTCCTTTAGGAAATTAGTTTAGAAAATCAAAGAAATTTTTCGTATACCACATAAAGAGCTAATGTGTAGTTTATTTAAAAGTAATCTTTCAATTTCATAATAGGTATTATTACACTTATATGAACACAAAAGTACAACATATACATATAGATTTTTTTTGGAAATTTCATGATTAGACAGTAGGTATATGAGAGTAACTTTCATATACTACTGAATATATTTATAAAACTATCTTTTCGGATTTTTTAGACTTCAGTCTCTCCCGTGACCATTTATCTACTGTAAAACATACAAAACGTCGGGAACCAAAAATCAAAATAAATAGGTGGAAAAATCCGAAAAGAATATAATTTAAAATGTTAAATATTCGCGTAAATCAAAGAAAGTGTTAGATTTATTCAACTTTCGAGTGATATTCGAACATCGCTGTGGACAAAAACATTTCGGTTGAAAGTTGTTTGACCGTAGGTGCGATCCATACGATACCAGCGCCCAACCTCAGTCTTTCTGAAAAGCCCATCGTCGTGGCTGATGCTGCGGAGAGTTCTGGAGCTAACGAATCTTCAGAAAGGGTAAGATACTGATAAAGGCTCAATTTACTAAAGAGGTTTTATTAGCGAAGTAATCTGTTTCCAAATGGCGCGCCTAAAAGCCAAATAACAAAGAATTGAGTTGAATTAAAGTTTTATTGATAGATAACAGTGTTTAAGTTTTTGTTGAACCATTAATTTAAGTTTTATTTCTTTATCTTCACTTTATAAGTAAATTTTGTTTAAAATATATCATTTTTGTTTACTCATAACTGTTTAGAATAATATTGAGTAATATTACCAATGAAGAATAAAATGGTCAAAGATCATTGGATATTAAATTAATTGTATAATTTTAGCCCAAACCTACATACGAAGTTACAGAAAAATACGCAGATCAACCAATCTATCAAGCAAATCCAAAAGTTGAAAAACCTGTTGGATTTTCCAAAGCATCGGTAAGAATAACAATATTTTTAATCAGAGTTGAAAAATTATTCGCTTAGATACTGCCTTTTTTTTATGTTGGGAAATGCATTTACGCATACGACCTGTATATGTACGCCCTGATTAAGTACCTACCTACCTATATTATTTTTAAAAGATTTAAAAATAACTTTAATATTGTCACAGATAACAACACAACATTATACAGTATTAATTATTATTATACAAACTCAAAATTAACAAAGAATTACTTGGCATACAAAGATTTATACCAAATGAGTAAATCTGCCTAAAGAGACAATGCTTCAAGGCCGAGTGCATCTCGCTCAAAAGAAAACGCACACATCCCGACCTTATATTAGTATATAATTTATTTTATTTGTTGTATAATACAATTACTATTTTTATGATTATATGAAGCTTTGCCTCTGTAGGAGCATGCGTTGTCTTACCATGTCTTGCCATGTGCTTATGTACGTAGGTAAATAATAGGTTCCTTCCATTCAAGTCTTGAAAAAATATCAAGACGGAAAATTCCCTAATCAAACAACAAAAAAAACTATGAAAGATATTACCTATTTGACTTGTTTTAAAATGTTCATTACTTACTCCTCCACCTCAATGTTACCTGTAAGAGATCACTCCCAGCGATTAGGCCTATTTACTGCTTTTCTTTTTGTTTTTTATTTTTCTTTTGTTGTGCAATAATTAGTACATTATTATTATTACTTTAGGCTTTATCAGCAGCTGAATTACAAAACATAATCAGACATAACGCAGCGTTACAACTTGCTTCGGAGTCTGGTTTGCCAGCAATCCAACTATCGCAACCGACTGTCCAACTCCCACAACCAACAATTATACCACACCAATTCTCAATGCATGTAAGTTGAATGCTTATAGTGTCAAAATTTTAGTTTAGTTTACATCCTTTTTTTTAACGTTGGGAAAAGCATTTACGCACGAGGTGTGGGACTCATCGGCAAAGCCAGTACTACCAACTAAAACCCAACAATACCTTCCCCCGTCTTAATGGGGCGTCGCTTACGCATTCAACTAGGCTTCGCGCCTGGCTGGATTTGGATTACCAGGCACTACTGAGCCCTTTGCGCCCTCCGCCCCAACCACGACAAGGTGAACGCACGTTTGGAGGGAGTTCAGTTTACATCCTGCTGTTTTCATAGTATAGCATTTTGCCAAATCTATCAACTAGAAATTCTAAGAAGTACATACATATATCTGTATTTAAAATAATCTATTGTAATTACAGGGATTCCATGGAATGTCAAATCCTCACGACTTTATGAATCGAGCACCAGAGCAAATAATATTACAGCCAAACGCTTTATACCAACCAGATCAAATGTTTTTGCATAATTTCCAAAGTCAAATATTACAGCAATATCCTGCAGTTGAATTTGTACCTTATACTCCGGACATACAGCATCAAGTCCAGACTCAGCCAACTGAAACGCAAACACCATTATATTTATTGCAAAACGAACAAATGACGGAACATGAACCAGTACAACAAACTGAAAACAATAAAAACATCGTACAAAGAGAAACTCAAGAAAAATCCGTCTCATCTATACTGCCACAAGCATTTACTGCCAAAAATGTATCTGAGAATCTCATTGATATTGATGTAACCACTCTGCCTCAAAATAAAACAGAGCTAGAACAAACTGAAATTCCAGCGACTACAGTTAAAAGTGTAGACAATAATGAAAATAAAAGAACGACTCCCATATATTACGCTCAGATAGGACAAAGTGTTGGTAACGTTATAGCGAATGCATTCTATTCAGCTATAAACGATGTAAGAACTTCCATAGATGAACAGGACTCGGCAAAATTGCAAGAAAATGTTACCACAACAACTGTAGAGACGACTACTGAAAGAGAAACAAAAGCAGTCTTTGAAAATACCAACCTAAAAGAAAGTAGGCGAGAAGATTTTAAAAATCTACTAGGTTCTCCTTTCGAAAAAACTGCAGAATCCGTTAATGTCGCCTATACAATCTTAAGAGCTAACGAAAAAGAACCTAAAGTTAATGAAGATGGCAAAGTGTTAGCTGGACAGGTAGTAGAAGCAAAAATAAGTGAGGATCAAGAATTTAATAAGGAAAAAGCGAATTTGGTCAATCGTCCATCATTACGACTCTATGCTGTAACGGAGAAGCGAGTTTCTGAACCAACTCCACAGAGAACTGTAGTGAAAGCTAAAATTCCACCAAAAAGCAAACTGATATTTGACGATAAAACCGGTGAACCTATACTTAGAGTGTATGCTAGTTACGTTGATAGTCCTGCACAGGTAAGAAAGTTACTTTATTTGACTGATCAGGGATGTTTTTTTTTCAAATTTAAATATGTTATTTTTGTTTACAGAAAGAATTCATAACAACAAAATTGTCGAACATGAAATACAAGGAAGCGACTAGAAAACAGGACACGTTTGACGTTAAATCAGATCCCGCGAAAAATATAGAACAATCTTTAACCGGTGATGTCAATCAAGTGGCACAATTTGGGCTCAAAATAAAATCAAGAAGTGACGATTACATACCCATATTCAATGATTATGAAGAGTAAATAAGAACTCACTCTAAGCTCATATTTTGATAAATAATTATAGTTAAAAAATTGGTAAATAGTTATTAAAATAATTATCAATTTTGTGAAAAAAGAATATCAAAATTCTAAATTTTTTTTATGATTCTATTGCATTTTTCAATAGTTTAAAAATGAAATTTTGATGACTTTCTTTAAAAAAAAATAACAATACTGAATGACAATATCCATGATTCATAAGTTAACAGGTTAATTAATTAATTTCATCGATCAAAAAAGTAGACTAGACACACAATCAGTAACAAAAAATGTCCTCACTGAATGAGCACTCATTTGAACATTTTAGCGCGCTTTTAATTTAAAAAAATATATTGTGAAAACAACTTTAAGCTTTGCGTTTAACGTTCAATTTACATTGTTGTATATTTATTTCAACTAGAATAATTACCTAAACAAAATTAGTGACAGTTTTAAAAGAACTCTTGCATGGGATTGTGTACCTAGTACTTTTAGATCGATGATTAATTTAATAATCTGTATAACAAGTTTTGTCTTCATATCTTCTCCATTCTACGTGATATTGGCGAAGTAATCTGTACTCAACTTGGAAGCCATTAACAAAGATAATTGAATTGAACAAATTTAGGTTAAAATGTATGTTATTTCTTTATAATTAATTTAAATAGTACTTAAAAATAGTTTTAAGAATATATGTATCAACTTTAAAATGTAAATAATATTTAATTTATTAATAAATGTTAGGTTATCTATCACTAATATAATATTTTATGCATTTAGAATTATTTATAAATAACTAATGTAATTGTAAAATGCCAAATGTATTACATAAAATAAAACTAATGACGTGTTGAATAAAAATTTATTTCATATTCCACATACCTATCACAAGTTATAAAAACATTATTTTATTATAGTTTATTGGAAAAACAATTCGAAACGAAACATTTTTCATTCACTTAGATAAATAATATCTTTTGACACAAAATTTATTTAAAAAATTAAATCCATTAAACACACAAGTTATTCATTTATTTTAAACACTCAATCATTTATGTAAAAAATTATCCACTGAGATATTTCGTAAAACTAAGATTAGTGTTGTATTATTACTAATCGAAATTGACATTATTTGGCATATAGGTTATATTATTATGTATACGTTTGGATTTTTGTGGACGGTACTTAGAGCACCTATTATATTAACATTTAGAAAAAAGTTGGGAAAAAATTTAAAAAGAAACTATTATTCCAAGTTGAATATAAGAAACTCGGTTATAGGATTTTTTAAAGATTTGTTTCTTTATCCGAGGGCTATTGCTATATGAATATGTGGGAGAAACAATATTTCGACCATAAAATATGTATTATTGGGATAAATGACAAATATGTAAATCCATATTATTTCATAAATCTGAAAAAATATATATAACCAAACAATTCTCATTTTATACAAAACTAACTTTATTGTAAAACTTGGAACATTACAAGAACAAAACAATAGTAATTAAATTATACAGTTTTTGTGTGTTTTATAAATATTGCACAAATACATTATTATGTACAAAAGCTCAGTGGATTTTCATAACATCTATTTGAATTTTTCCATTTGGTCCATAAACCAAGGACGACCAGAAGCTCTTTGAGTTAGAATATCACAACCCGTCTCCGTTACTAATAGAGTCTGTTCAAACTGTAAATTTAAAAAAAAAGGTTAATGTTAGTAGAATACTTGCATAAATAATACATTTATGACATTTGACGCTTTTTGGAGTACTTTTGAAGTGAAACTTTAGAATCGTTGTGATTTGAAACTAGATGAAACGGAAATGCGTCATGACAAAAAAGACAAATATGTACATAAATATATATGATTAAGCCGGCGAGAGAATGAAATAGAATACATTACACAGGAAGTGGAAAATAGGTATGTACTCATACTAAATAATATGTTATGAAATATAATATGGTAAATAACATGTAAAATAACTTAGTAAAAAAAGAATTAACCTTGCAATTATTTTAAATATTATATTTATGTTTTTATAAAAATTATTACTTATAAAAATGAATATTCAATACTATGGAATGAATGTGCATAAATTAAATAAAAGCTATTATGACTAATTGTTGCCATGGTAACCGTTATGATAGCTATTGTCTATTATCCATCTAAGCCAGCCATACTCAACCTTTTTTTTATAGGAGCCACAAACACGTTTCAGGCATGGTGTCGAGGGCCGCAAGCAAAAATTGTTTAGGTCTTAGTGAAAACGTAATTCCAAGTTAACGATGTAGTTACTTTTTTAACAAAGATATGTTATAATGCAATTCTTGATGTGCGACCCGCGGGCCGCAGTTTGAGTATAGCTGATCTTAACTGTTAAAAGAAGTAGCTTAAGCTACTCATGATAAAAAGCAGTTTTTGTTACTCCTAATAAAAACCAACCTATGCCACATAAAAAGTGGCTTGAAACAAGTAAAGATTTTTCTGTCACAATACAGTAAGTTTTGTAAACCAATATTTTTCCTTTACTCCATTTGAAACATCAACAGTATACAATTTGTGGAAAAAAAAATATTGAAACATTTCTACTTCTTTAAAATTCTAACTTCTTAATGTCTCTCGACTTCAGTACTCTCCTCAATGTGAGGCAGATATATATTTATGTATTCAGCCTTCAATACGAAGGAGATCAGGCCATAGTCCACCACGCTGGCCAAGTTCGGTTTGGACTTCACATCTCTTTTGAAAACTGGCTAAGCTCTCTCAGACATGCAGGTTTCCTCACGACATGATAATTAAAATAAATATTCATTTTTGCTTTATTTTTATTTAAATAAATGATGTTCTCCTAGCCGATTCTGGCTACGGCGGCCAATATCATTGAGATTAGCCAACTGCGCAGGAGACATTAAGGTGCTCAAGTGTACGCGCAGACACAAGTGCACTCTCTATTCCTGTCACTCTCATACTCCGGTGGGACGACCACTCGACACGACTGGTGAGAGTTAAGGCGCAGGACCGACGGCTTTACGTGCTCTCCGAGGCACGGGGGTGAAACACGGCCAACTTCCCAACTTCAGGCTGTTACTGAGACTTACTATACAGAAAGACTCAATAACTAAACTTGGCCCGACCCGGGACTCGAACCCAGGACCTCCGGGTGTGCAGCCGTACATGCTAGCCACTACACCACCGAGGCAGTTAAATAAATAACAGACATTTTAAATAAAACTATCTTTTCGGGTGTTTTCGTGGATTTATTTTATTTTGATTTATGATTCTCATAAAGAAAAAGTAAAAATCAGAATTTTCTAAGAAACTATTAAATATAGAGTTACATAGTACTAACCTGAGCGGACCTCGTACCATCAGCAGTAACGGCCGTCCAATGATCAGGCCATTGTTCGTCTCTCCATCCACCCTCATTGATCATAGGCTCTATCGTGAAACAGTGGCCGGGCTTCATTACTCCGATCGCTTTGTTCTCTGTAAATATTTTAGTTTTGGTTATTACTCATCTACACCTTGATGTTATTGCTGTAAATAATTTCTAATGAGTTCTATCACTTTAAAATAACCTTTTGATATAAAAAAAGGTTATCATAGGTGTACTTTAGGTAGTTGGTTCCGCGTACAAAATTTCAACTCCTATTTCAATTTCACCCCCTTTAAGTTTTTTCTCCACAGTAGCTTATATCTTTCTCCAAGGTCCCATCTATCTTTATACCAAGATTCATCAAAATTGGTTTAGTGGTTTAGATATGAAAACGTAACAGACAGAGTTACAATCGCATTTATAATATTAGTTTGCATGACTAAAGTTTAACAAGTTTAAGTGGTTATTTTGCAATAGATTTATTGCACTCAATTTCATAAGAAATAAAATTTAATATAATATATACTGAGATATATGAAGTTAAAGATATGAAAAGAATATGTATATTAGTCAATGACTTATGTTATATTTTAAACAAATTATTTTTTTTTTAATTACCTATAGCTTAAAAAGCATTAATCAGAAAAACAGTCAGTGCTTACAAAAATATATGGTAAAAATATAACTTACTGGCATAATGTGGTACATTAGGCGCAGTGTGGAACAATCTATGTATTCCATGACCACAATATGACCTTACAACACTTAAACGATTCGCCTGCGCATGTTTTTGTATCACATTTCCAATTTCCCTATACTTTTCTCCGGGTTTAACAATATCTATTGCTTTCTGTAAGCATTCATATGTGATCTGTACCAGTTTTCGTGATGATTCAGATACATCACCAACAAAAAATGTCTCATTTAAGTCTCCGTGGAATCCTCTATGGTATACAGTAACATCTACATTGCATATATCACCATCCTGTAATTGTAATATATTTATATAATCATCAATACATAATAATTAAAAAAGTTTCTTCAATAATATCTACACATGCAAGAAATTGTAACTAGTAAGTTATAAAATGTATATACATAAAGAAGTCCTATTTTCTATCTTTAAATTTGTTTAGCATATCCATATGTTGAATAGAATTATGTTATACAACATTATTTTCAATATTCCATCTTACAATTTCACTTATACCCGTGACAAAATCTAAACAAATTGTTGTTTCTTTGTATATTTTTTCATCTAATTTTTTCATACTAATTATATCAATTGAATTACATTTGATTACATTTGAAGCTGTCCTTAAACATAATCTGCATATTAAATTACAATTTGATTTAAATGGAAACAGACCTACTTTTATCATGTTGTGTCATCGGGAATAAAGAAAAATTCTTTTACATAAATTCAATCTCTAGATTAAATTAAATTAATAAAAGTAAAAACAAATCCAAAATATGTGTATTATAATTTAAAAATACTCAAATTGTTAATAAATTAAATGAAATAATGCAGTCTTATAATCACTTTTCTATAGTTAGTTATAACTTATCTAGCTAGTGGATATTTTTTTATGAAATCTAACAAAAGAACAAAAAAAAACGACAACCTCTATTGTTTATTTTTGTAGAAACTAGCACACGGAATAGCCCTAATTAGGGTCCTTCTATTACTTTGTATAGCTTGAGGTTAGGATTGTGATCAGCACTTTCAAATTTAATGTATAAGAATGAATTGTACAATAGAGTAAATAGAATGAGAATACATGGAAAATGTTATGTAATCAAGGAAAATATAAAGGAAAAAAACAACTAACAATTTTCAAAGAATTCACATCACTTATTTCAATGCATCACAAATCCATCATTCATCATGACATTTTATAGTTATAGTTTTTAATCCACTTTTTAGTTATACATTTAAACAATGGACTATCATGTTTAAAGTCTTGCCTTAAACTTTGTTGAAGTAAAGCTGATTAGTTTTTTTAAAGCAAAGACACTTATTGAAAAATAATAAAATATGATTTCTTGAATCTTTAAAGGGTAATATTTAATTATACTTTCAATAAAAGACAATTTTAGTAAAATATTAAAAATTTTGAATAGCTTATTGGCTAATGGAAGCTTCTAATTATTTTAAAACAGAAATGTATTTAAATGAATATTAATTTAATACTACATATTATACAAACCTCCAATGGTCTCAAATCAGGAATACCATGACATATAACCTCATTAACAGATGTACAACAACTTTTGGGAAAGTTGTGATAATTTAAGGGACTAGGATAACATTCCCTCTCAATACAAGCTTCATGTACAATTCTGTCTATTTCATCAGTAGTAACACCCACATCGCACACCCTAAAACATAACAAATAAATTTGAATATAACACCATTTTAAATATCAGTAGATAAATGATAAGTAATAAAATTAATATACTTTGCTGCTTCATCCAAAACTTCTCTACCAAGGCGGCAGGCAACACGCATGCCCTCTATCTCTTCATCATCAAGCACTTTAATTTGTCCGGATCCTTTTGCGGCATTTTCGGAAGCGGGATAGCCGGTAGGATGATCGGCATAATCCGGACGACCTATGTGAGGTGGCACTGTCCGCTTAGACCCAAGCGGCGACGGTCTCAACTTGCCGGTAAAGTTATAAGACGGCCAGGGGTTATATTCTGCACTGGACCCATCTGTATTTTCTCCCTCTATAACAAAATCATAATGAAATTCTGGCCCGCGAATACTTCAAACATAACCTAAAAAAACTCACTCGCTAACGAATGAATGATTTTGTGATTTTTCCAAGACTTTTTAAAGCATTCCTGATTGCAAAAATATGAGCCCTGTATACCCAACTTAATACATGTTGGGCATTGGAGCATAGCAAGGGACTCGCAACCAGGAGTTTCACATAAAACACTCGCTTCCATTTTTGTAATTCGTTTTTTCCAATTTCCGATTGCCCGGTTGCCAAAGTATGACAATTGACAATTGTTTTTGACGTCTAAAATACCACAGAGGTTTCTTACTTTTTATTTAACCTGGCAAGTGGCAAGAGTAAATCATTAAGCAGTAAACACCAACCATAAAGGATGATTACAATGCATTATTAATTTTATTTAATATTTGGTTTAACAAAGATATTAAAATGTAGAGGTTTAAATAAAATTACACTTTGTTAAATAAAGAAAGACACATCAAACAATAGACACCTTATAATTATTGAATTAAAATATATATATTTTATATATTGTGTTTAAACAGGCCAAGTGATAATGATATGTTAGGAATAGGAAATTGTGTTAAGATACAAACTAATACAATAATATCTTAAAAAAACATGAGCCGTGAAATTTCAATCTAATTTATAATATGGGTAACTTACTGAAAATCGTTTGTCCAAGCTGATGAAGCCACCCGTCGGATAAATCGTAAGATCTTATTAAAACGTTTCTAGACCGTGTATATAAATAATTGCACGTTATAACTAAATCATTAATGTTCATTTCAAATATCAAATAAAACAATTTAGCAAAAATTATCCATGAAACTAAAATTTTCCAGCGTAAAAATGATTGACGTAGTTTAATTTCAGGCGTTTCTATTTTTGCTTTGTAATGTGTTTATTTTATTCCAGCCACGCTTGTCCAGTGAACGAACGCTACAAGCATGAAGATTTGATTTTAATCTCTAATATATAAAATTCTTGTCTCACAGTGTTGTAACAAAACTCCTCCAAAACAGCTTGACCGATTCTTATGAAACTTTGTGTGTATATTCAGTAGGTCTGAGAATAGAACGTAAACTATTTTTCATCCCCCTAAGTGATAGGTGGTCCACCCTAGGGACGAACCCGAGCGGAGCGAGGGTGAGTAGCTAATATCTTATAAAAATTAATACCTATTGAAGTAAATATAAAAAAAGGAATATTAATACGATACTATTTTTTTTGAAGCTTTTCCTTCATAACTAGGTGGTAGGGTATTATAGTGTATTATTAGGGAATAATAGGAGTAATTAATATTTTTATATATTTTTTATTTAGTGGGTCCCCCTCTAAATAAGAAATAAAATTTTAGTAATGTTTGCCTGGTTAAACTTTATGAACATAATAGGTATCTATTATATATATTTCTTAGTTTATTTGGTACTTCGTAGGAGTGGTGTCGGTTAGTAGTGTACCTACTGGTATTTGGTAGTGGTAGTTTGTGGTAGTAGTTGAGGAAGAGATTTATTACAGGCAGCTTTTTATTTTTAGTGATTCAACATAAACAAATAGAGAAAATATGGATTCTTCGCATCATGTTTTAATAAAATACCAATATTACGTAATAAGTATCTAAGGTTCAACTAGAATGGTAAATGTGCCATATCATTATTTATAACAACGCATCTATTATTCCTTTATACACATAATCAGATATGGTAGAAAATATCATTATAGTAATAATATTATGTGCGTAGGTACAATTCAATCGTACAGTGTAAAATGTACAAGACGAAACGAAGCACACGAGAGTGAGCAAAAATTTTATTTGCACATAATAAGACCTCTGTGGTGAGAATTGGTGTAATCTATGTTTTTTACTTATGTTCCAATTCAATCAAATAGTGAAACCACGGTGTACTAAAGTTTATACTGTAGTAAAACCGAATATTTGTCCAGTTTTATTTGTTACATTGCAGGCTTTTGGATTTGTTGTTCTTTCATGCTATAGATTGACATGATTGTTGCATAAGAGATAGTGTATGGGAAGGAGTAGAAGTCGATATAGGTTTTCTATTCCATCCGCCTCGATGTGTGTTCACCTTGTCGTAGTGAGGGGGCTCATTAGCGTCCGGCAACCCAGCCGGGCGCGAAGCCAAGAGCCCGTATGTATACGGGTGGTATGCGTAAATGCATATCCCAACATAAAAAGATTTTTTTTTATTCCATGGATCAACCTTGCTATATTAAATTAAGAAAAAAAGCTTCAGGAATATATCGTGTAATTAGTATTGAAGTATTAAAACATTGGGCGTCTCTTGAAATTAAACCAATTAAACCATTATACTTGTATCTTAATTTAATGGCAAATAAAATATAACTTCAAGCATTCTGTTTCATAGCATTTTAACTAGATACGTTTAAATTATACGAGCATAAAATATAAATAATATTATGAATATTATATTCTTAGACTAGAAAAACACTAATAGAGATCTATTAGTTCCCACGAGAACCGTTCATTTGTCCCGGATGAAAAGTAACCTGTTGTTTGACCGGCAATATAAGGTATCAGAATGTTAAATTTTACTAAATTAGGTGCATAAGTTGTATAAGTTAATATAGTTTTTTAACTATTCCACGGGAACTATTTAATCTTCCGGAATAAAAAGTATCTAAGGTGTTGCCCGGGGATGTAAGGTACGACCATGCAAAATTTCATTTAAATCGATCCAATAGATTCGGAGATTAGCCCGTACAAATAGACAAACAGGCAGAGAAACAAAAAATTTGAAAAAATCTGGATTTGTTCTATTTGTCTTCTTACATCCCCCTGACTCGGTTTTTAGCATTTTTTGCTATGTACAGACATTCGACCTCTACTGTTTTATCTTTATATATATAATTCTTCTGTGAGTGTGTATGTCACTGAACTTCTCTCAAACGACTGGACCGATTTTGATGAAATTTTTTGTGTGTGTTCAAGGGGATCTGGGAATGGTTTAGATTCACAATTTGAATAATAATTTTCATCAAAAAAATTATTAAAAAAAGTTTGAAATTTTCAAATTAAAGACGTGTAGACAGGACAACGTCTGTCGGGTCCGCTAGTTATAGTATAGATTATTAATATAATAATCTAAGATTATATTTATGCACTTAAATTAGCTTGCTACATCACTTTAGAAATAAAAAGATATCTATAAAGTCTAACCTAAATAAAAATTGTTTCACATTTATAAAATAGGATCGTGTTTAGGAAAATTAGCTAAAAGCAGCTTTGTTAAAATCTTTTATATCCTCTAATAAATGAAAAAACGTCGAGCATTATGCTTTACTTGAAATATAGCTGCTTGAAATGTAATGAATAAAAGATTCATTCGTGTTTAGGCTTTAGAGTAATAGTTTAATATTTTGGTAATATTTTTATAAGTTTTTTTTATTATTGAATTTTTTTTTATCATTTATATACTTACATGTATTTCTGTAGGTAATTATTACCTATACCTAAGTGTAGAAGTACAATTAGTAAATTTTGTTTAACTGAACGATAAGGCAGATTGGTTTACCAATTTGGCAAAAAAATAAGTTAGTAAGAGAGTTCTTCTTCTTCAAGTGCCTCTCCGACTAGCGAAGGTTGGCAGTCAGCTTCGAATACTCCATCTTGTTCTTCGCGAGGCGAAAGAGCTCAGCTAACTAAGAGGCTTATTCTCCCCATTTTTATACATATATAGCATAATATTTCACACTAGCATTGCCCGCGGCTTCGCCCGCGTTCAGATGACCAAAAACCAAATTCTTAGGTTTTACATATTAGTATACTCTTACAAAGTTTTTGTATTTTTTCTCAGAAATGAGATATTTTCCTGCGGTAAAAAGTATCCTATATGTTGACCCGGATAACCAGCTACCATCATACCATACCAAATTTCATCAAAATCCCTCCAGTGGTTTTTCTGTGATGCGGTAACAGACAGACAAAAAATCTAAAAACTATAGATTCGGACTCTGTATCGATAATAATGTCTATTTCAATAAGATTTTCCAAAAAATATTTCATGTACCTACAGATTCGACTTTGTTACAATTTTATTATAGGTATGTATAGATGAAGCTCTTTGGAGGTATCTAAAGCATTTTGACATAATATCAACTTTTTTATTCAAAACAAAAAAAGGCTATTTATAATACAAAAAGTCAATATTTTCACATAAGTATAAAGTGACCGTTTTGCACAAAGAATATTTGAATGAGCATTCCCGACTGAGTGCCGGAAACGGATCCTGGGTACAACGTCACCTTCCAAACGGCCGAGCCACTAATTTTCCGGTCGGGACCCCATTACAGGAAATGCAAGGCTAGATGGAAAATTTTATAATATTTCAACTCCAGAGAGAAGCTAATAATGAGTATATATAAGTACCTATTATTACCAATGACATAAGGTTCCTATATATGTAATTGCGTCTGGGATGGCACATATCACATATTTAATGTGTATATATTTTTATTTAGGGTGCCTGAGCACCTACACACTAGGATTTTAATTATTACGGATCATTTGAGCAATATACCTAATTAAACACTATGCAAAATTAAACCTATGTTTTCTCTAATTGTAAGAAACTTTCACTAGAACCTACGCTGCGCCACTATAAATAACATTCATGTAAACATTATAGAGCCTAAGCAAATGTCTAGAAAATTTAAATGATAGTAAATCTTATGGCACAATATCTATACGAGTATATTTAATAAACAACCCTTATAAAGAATGTTATCTAAAACGGGGAATTTTTCATCATATTTTTACTATGTTAAATACGAAAGTTATGTGTATGTATGGCTTTGTGTACGCTTAATACTCTTTAACGCTGATACAGCTGGATGGTTTTGGTTGAAATTTAGTACACAGATTATGATCTGACATAGGATTTTACAAATTTCAGTTTCAAATTCAGCCCTTTTTAACGTCTCACTGCTGGGCACGGGCCTCCCTTCATCACAAGGGGATCAGGTCATTGTCCACCACGCTGGCCAAGTGCGGGTTGGCGGACTTCACGTGTCTAAAAAACTTGCTAGGTTCTCAGACATGCAGGTTTCCTTACGATGTTTTCCTTCACCGTAAGACAAATGGTAATCATGTTTGAAATGATTTGCACATGAACATATTAGAGGTGCGAGATTCGGCATTTAAACCCGCTTCACTATATACATACTACA